ACTGAAATCTTTGCACGGTGAAGTCATTAAGATCCTTTGTACCCTCCCTGCAAACTACTCAGAAAGGCTGAAACTGAATTAAAAGGTGTTTCAACAAAGTATAATTTGTGATCACACAGATTTATGCATCTGTTATATTGTTGATTTGTACTATGTATATTTTTTCTTCTCTTAAACGTCAGTTTCTACTAAAATTTTCCATAATTGTCTTGTTATATGTTGCAAAAGTTTCAAAATGATGTTATCAGTTGTTTTAACTTTTATATTTACATTTCTTGTTTCAGATTGACACAAAACTGAGCTAAAAATGCTTGGAATGAACAGGAAAACAGAGCGAACTAGACAGGTTGAGAGTGCATTAACCAAACTGTGCCGTCTCAAAGAAAATAAACACGAGAGTTCAGCTTGAATCGAGGTTCTCTCACCACATGGAGAAATGTCTGTGGGGAAAACGGTGAACTCCATGTCATAACTGTTTTTTGAGTCAGTGTGTGCATTAAAAGGTGAACGTGGTCTGCAGGCTGAAAAGCACTTAGAGCGGTCAACAGGAAAAGAAAGCGGCTATTTCATTTTGTTTCAGGTGATTTACCTGATTTATGTTTCTGCACTTCTTTTCAAATTGTTCCGCCTTCCTCGTCTTTTCACTAATTTGATGGCGATGATGACAATAAGGAGGATTAGAAATGATTGGTGGTCAAAAGTGTAGCTGTTCAGGACTTAAACAGCACAAGTGATTTTTTTTTACTGGATTATTCTGTTTTCGCTGCAGGATGGAAGCTAATCATTACAGTAACAGTATTTTTCATTTTTCATAACCTCTCTGGTAGACGTTTTGCATGTTAGGGGCTTTACTCACAAACCCCTACTGGGCAGCATTTTGCTTTCTAATAATTAACACGTTTTGAACACACGCAGACGAGTTTCCTTGCAGTGTGTTGATCTTTATTTGTTACCCAACATTACATTTCTCTATACGTTCACTGCTGTCTGTTGCACTTTTCTTTTCCACTTTTGATGTCTCCTTCTTTCATCTTTCTTTAGCTGAGAGTATTTATATTTGTGCTGCAATAAGACACATTCTCCAAAGCAATCAGAAATCTAATATATATGTTAAAGTACAACGGCAATTCAGTTTGGCAAACGTTTTTGCAAGATAGACTGCGTGTTTGGCAATTTATGTTATGATTTACAGCCTCGAAATGATTTAACAATAGCTTTGCTCCTTATTCGCACTTTGTCTGATTCAACCTCTGTCTGTTGTCTCTCTTTGTAGAAACAATCAATTTTCTTTTCTAGCTTTCAGAAACACCTCAACAGTTAGCCGTCTTAGTGCAGAGGTGCAACTCTTTTACGGGTCGCGCAATTAGACTCAGCTCTTATCTGATGTATCGCCAAAAAATGCAGCTGAACCAGAGCAGCGTGTTACAGGCGTGGGCTTACACCGTGGTTTTATGATTGTGTTAAATCCACATGGTCACTGCGGTTCAGCAGCTGCGTTGCAACCTGAAGGTTTTGGGTTCGATTCCAGCTTCCCCTCGTCGCATATCGATGAGCTCCTGGGCAAGACACTTAACCCCAAGTTGTCTGTGTGTCATGTGTGAATCGGTGAATAGTGTAAAGTGTGTTTGACTGGAAAAATGTTACATAAGTTCGGTCCATTTATGCAAACATTTAACACATAAATAAATACCTTCGTAAGGCATAACTCTAAATTAAAAGAGAAAAGCAAAAATACTCCTGTTGTTGATTTGTAAATGTTATATTTTACTGTAGAACATTTATTAAATGTCATTTCGATTCTGCGTCTTAGACTTTACAAAAATCACAGAATAAAGAACAATTTTTAGTTGTTTCCAATTAAATCTGCTTATTACCAAAAAAAATCGGCTACTTCGCCACTTTACTCTTTATACAGTAACACTGGGACTCTAACAAGCTGATATAATCTCTGTTTTAATCTGCATGTCCAAACAGACACATTAGATTTTATTATAGGAGAGAAGTGTTGAAGATAGCTGAGCAGCACTGTACAGCAACATGTGGAGGAGGGGCAGCGCTGTCTCTGTGCTCCAGGCAGCTAATAAAAAAATTCTGGTTATTCCTGCACTTTCTCAAACACCTCATTAAAAAACCATTATTATTTAAATTGGGGGTTCTGTAGAGTTGTGTTTTATATTTTGCTCACCTGATGTAGGTATGCTGCATCAATCTGCCTAATTTAATGATTTGGTGGGTCAGCCATCATCCATTTCTACCAGACCAGTAAAAGCACGATAACGCACCGTTTTTTGGACAGTTGGAGCCGTTTAGTGTAGTGTGACAAACTAAATGTGCAGCCGCAGTATTTTGTTACCGTTAGAAAATGCGAAACCTCTGTGTTTTCCTGTCACCGCACCAGTGACCGTGACCATCTTCAAGCTTTAAGAAATGTTTATATCCCTGTTGTTGACTTGTCGTCTCGTGCCATGAAAACCTCAGGCTTTCTTCGTGCAGTTTGGATTCAAACTTTATAAAAACACCAGACCACTAACAGCTGAAGCTCCCTGGAGGAACGAAGTCCAGTTGTAGACAGACGACATTAAACACATGATCACAAGCTGTTTATTTGACTTTTTAATCTTCGGAATGACATGTTGTTAACATTTGGATTTAGACCAGCAGTAAACAAAAACACTGTTGGTAACATACACGACTTACACATCTGCTACTTACCGTACTAACGAGAGCTGCTACTCCAGATTGGGGCTAAGGATTATTTTAGGAATCAATTATTCCCTCAATAATTAAAATCAGTTATTAAAAAAAATAATAATAAAATATACACAAATTTGGCACATTCTGTTATTTTTTCATTTAACAACTTAAGTAAGTTTTTCTGGAGAATTTGAACCAGGTGAAGCCAAACGCAACTGATGAGTTCTGGGTAGAACATATTTATAGACAAAGGGCTTTTTTGCATATTGTTTTGGACTAAATAACGTCTGAGTGTGTTGTTCTTTGAACAATTGGTCTTTTTAAGTGTATATACTCCAACTAACTAAATTCAGTAGACGGTTATTTCAATCATGGATTCATCACGATTAAACGATTCATAAACTCCAGATTGGAGAAGAAAAGAAAAATGTTCCATTTTGTGTCAAACACAAACCTACTCTGACTTGTTATGCTTTTGAAGCATCATCACAGTTGCTGTGGAGGTATTTTGACACAAAGCAGTTTCAGTTGATTGAGATTTGCAGGCATTTTCTTTCTGCACAGCTCTATTAAGGTCCCGCCGCAGCATTTCCACGAGGCTAAGCTTTGATTGGGCCATTACAGCAAAATGATTCTTCTCTTTTTCATACATTCTTTTAGGGATTTGCTCGTGTGTTTGGGATTATTCTCCTGTTGGTGATTAAATTGTGGCCAATCTTTGGCTGTTAGAAAAAAATAATACATGTTGCATCTGCATATTGCATCTCTTCAGCGGATAGGATCAGCATCTCCACAGTTCTACTGCCAAATATGGAGGATTGAGTCTATCTCTGTCAGCTGTACTTACAAATTAAATTATAATTAGATTTTTCATGAAACACACAGATTCAGGCAGGATGCGTTAATGTTCTCATTTCCATCACATGTCCAAAAGATGTTGTAGTGAATATTAAGACTAAAATTATTATTAACACTCAATAAGAAACCAATCAGTGTGTGTTTTTGTTTTCGACAAGCATCCTTTCAGGTTTACATAACTGAAACATTTAATCGGTTATCAATACAGCATATGGAGAGAGAGAAATCCTAAAGCAAACCACAGAGTCCTCCTTCTTCCACTGCTCTGTTCCTGTACGCATCTCTCCTCTTGTGTCTTTGTTTTCTGTTCGCTCCAGTGAAGGCTGCGCTGACAAAATAACAGCAGGGCTGGGAAATGGAGATGTGATGCTCTTTATGCAAATCAAATCTTGCGTTGCCATTCATTTCACTCAGAGCACCCAGAGGACGGACAAAGGAGCGGAAAAGCACTGGGGGGAAAATAAGCAATAGAGAGAGCTAAAGGCAGGTCAGCTTTAAGTAAATATTTTTACAAAAACCCAACAGTGATTTGTGACCGCCAGCCTCTAATCAGTATTCAGCATGGCTGAGTTCAGAGCTGAGTTACTGCTCTCAGCAGCTTCAGTGAAGCAGCAACACGTAAAGATCCGCAGTTCATTAATGCTGACATCAGACTTCTCTAATGGTGATCTTCAATATCTGAGGGATAAATGCTTGTGTTAACAAGGCTCCTAAGCAACCTGGGAATGTTCTCAGGTCTCAATGAGCATCGTCCTCGTAACGCCACGTTATGTAATAATGTAAAAACATCGGGCTTTAAAATGTGATAAAGCGTCATTAAAGCAGTAATAATCGATGCAAAATGTAACAAAACCTTTGAAAGCCTAATACCAAACGTTCTGGCTTTGAGTCAGAAAAGGCAATTAAATGACCAAAAGTTTATTTATTGACCAAAGTTTCACTTTAAATGTGCATAGAAATTACAGCATGATGGAAGTATAATGATTAGGATGAACACAAACAGTTGGTGAATGTTTATTGCATGATGCTCCATATTACTACCTTCAAATTTCTACCAAAGAGCTTTGTCTGCATTTTGTACTAATCAGCACAAAATGTATGAAGTAGTTACATACACTGTAAAAAACAAACGTGTCTAATTTACAGTAAAATACCGGCAGAATGTTGCCATATAAATACTGATTTTATCGTATTAAATATGTTTGTGGATTATTACATAATTTAGCTTTAATAATGTTTTATTCCATTTTGAGGCCCAGTTTTATTACTTTATTAAACACTGTGGCTTTATAACCCTTCCTTACTTTCTTTTATTTACTTACTTCTCCTCTGGTTTATTGTTTCCATTTGAAATGCTCCCACATATTTGATGTCAGGCTGCTGATTGTGAAGCTGATTAATTGAATAATAGCGACTCCTCAAAAACGTCCCTGTGTTCCTGTTAACAGAACAACCATCAAATCACCATGGCTCCACCTTGCCTCCTGTACCGCCGCCTCACCGCCAGCAGCCCTCAGTAACGGCCCTGAACCAAGCCTTGGGCTCCACGCACCACGCTGGCCAGAACCTAAACTCCTCGCGCCAACTAACCCCTCCTTCTGGAAGCCCGGCTCCCGTGGCCGGCCAATCACCAGCCGAGCTGCAGACCACGCCCCCCGAGAGCGTCCCGCTGCAAGACAGCTGGGTGCTGGGTAGCAATGTGCCTCTGGAAACGAGGTAATAACGCCGGTTTTAATTCAGTCTGTTGGTGTAGGTGAGCGTGTGATTGGATGCAGGTCTGGGTAGTAACCAGTTACATTTACTATAATGACTTTGTTTTTGTTTAAATGTACTTTTAGGAGTATTTTTACTTTTACTTGAGTAATTTCATTATGACGTATCACTGCTTTTATTCTCAACCCACTGTGAGTAACTTCACTGAATTGTTGGTTTCATAAGTTTTTCTTGAAAGAAACTGTTTTTGAACATTTTCCTTTAATTTTCTTATGTGAATTATGGTAATTTTGGTCCTTTAAATAACAAAATTTCCATTTAACTTTATCGCTTGGTCCATCTGATGATGTAATTTTTAAATATTGAATGATTTTTTTACTTTTACGTCAATAAAAATACATTGAAGTAGTGCTACTCTTGAGTAAAACTTTGGGGTTTTCCACCTACCTCTGATTGGATGAATGTAGCTTCTGTAATTTCTGAGTTGTCGTCAATTCCAGAAATGTGTTGTACAATTTCCATCCACTCAAAACTTATAGTTAGTGTGTACACATGTGATTTACAGTGAAGCTTTACAGAAATCCAGGTGAAGACCCAAAATGAATAAAACCTTTTGTGGATGTATATTTGAAATTGTATTAATGCCAACAAAATGTTTCTGATGAAAATGAGGGCTGCATCTCTTAAAAGATCTTTACAGATGCCTCCTTCATTTTAATAAAATAATGCAAAAGGAGTCTGAAAAAATGAGTTTTTTCATTTGCATTTTATTTAACAAAATGGCATGATGAAAAATATGCATACTTTCCTTATTGATCAGTGGAAAAATCTCCAAAGTCTTCATTGCTGCGAGAACGTCAGCATGTTTCTACCTTTTATGTCCAGTTAGATGTTGAGCCCCAAGTCTTTGAGGTTTGAATGCCTCCCATCCATCACCCTAATCTTTAACTCCCTCCACAGTTTCTAAATAAGATTCATGTTGGGACTCCAGAATGTGAATATTATTTCCAGTCCTAAGAAACAACTTGGTCAACTTTTGACATGAGCTGCATTTTTTTTTTAACATTACTTTCTTGTTAATGTGTCTGGATTACATTTAATGCAAAATGTAAGGTGTTTCTTTTTATCCAGTTGTTAAATGACCGTCACCTGGGAGATGTGGCAGAAAACCAGACAGGATGAATGTTTAGCTTTGGCCGTGGAGATCTATGCCTGAGAGGGAAAATCCAAATTAAATTTGACGTAATTTAAAACAAATATCCTGTTCTGATATGATTTCCCAACCTCTTCCATAATGTAAGAAACAGCCACCTGCTCTTATCCATAGATGAGACTGGCTGTGCTATGAACATGGAAAAGTGATCAGATTTTCCTGTAAGCTAGTGAATGTAAATACAGAATTCGGATAAACAGTTTTCCTGTAACTGTAAGTTGTTTCTCCACCATTAGCGCAGCTGCAGCTCGTACCCTGGCTGTTTCTCTGGATATTAATTTTATTAATCCTATACCAAACTTTGAAAAAAGCCAATAAAACCAAAGTGTCAGAATGATGTTTTTTCTATTTCAAATGGCTTTCTAAAAGATCAACCTGTGTCGCATACCAGCTGCATGATAAACACTACATACATGAGCCTTTGGGGGGCGCTCTCTGGGGACTGCCCCCAGCCCCTGGCCATCTTTGGAGGGCCAGTCAGGCAGCTGCCCCCAAGGGGACCTGTATCCCACCGAATATATGCAACACTGCTCTGCTCTGCTATGTCTGGCCCCGTCCTGCACCGCAGCTTTAATACACTGTGGACCCTCAGGGCTTCGCCGTCCAGCTTTTCTTATAATCATAATGACACAAGATCTGAGCTGAAAAAAGCAGAACCAGAGCTTAACCCAGACTGTTTGGTCTGAAACTGTATCACCATGGTAACTAAAGACAGCTCTTGAGCTGCCGGAGTGCCTGTGCCATGCTGAAAATAAGCCTGATCAGAACAGGTGCTGTAGTCACATTATCAGCAGCGGGTTTATTTTTTCATTCTTTAATAAAAATAATGTATATGAAATGATTAGAAAAGCAAGTTATACTACGGATACACATTTACGACGTTGCCCAAATATGTTAGTGGTTTGATTCTTCAAAGTCATTCAGTAAAAGAAACATAGTTTAACGCAGCTGCAAGCCTAAATATTCAGTTTCAACTCTTGCGGTGCTTATGAAGACAACATTGGAGTTTATTGATCTAGTAAAACTTTGTTGTTTATCGATTACACTTCAAGTTAGAGATTACGTTTTTTTCAATGCGACAGACATGAGTAACAAGAGGAGACAAACGGAGACAAAATAAGTGGGTGTCAAAGACATTTATTACGTCTGGCCCATGAAAGGGGGATTAATGCTGTAATGTAACAAGAGAGTGTTAATGTTCTCATTAGAGGTGATAATTCACACACAGCATCTCCAGGACAAATACTGTTGGCTTAGACAGCCACACCTGTTGGGGCTCAAATGGTCACTGGATCATGCAGACGCAGATGTCAGTCAAGCATACTCTGTTGCGTATGCTTGACTGCATATATAAGCTTGTTGCACTACATACATTTTATAAACGGGTAAGAAAAGTTGCTTTTCATACCTGATACTGCATTAGGAATGTGAAATCTACATCATATCAATTCAGATTCCTTAAAATAAGTTTTAAGAGGAAGTTTTAATGAGTAAAACATCAGGTCAGAGAGTTAAGAGTTGGAAGCAGGGGCTGCAGATCTTTCGCTCCAGTAGAGATTTCTTTTCTTGAGTCTGTTGCAAACTCTCCATCTGCCTTTAGTTTTGTCTTAAATTCCACCATACCAAGCTGCACCCACCCTCGCCTTTCCGCTCAGTGAAAAAGAGCCATTAGCTCACTTTATTAAGGAGGCACATGGCAAAAAATACAAAATCCACATTGCCACAGATTTCCATGATGGGTTTAACGCCAAACGTTCCAAGTCTTTGAATAGAACCTAACTGAGCTTAATATAAATTCTGTCAGAGGTAAAATAACTTTATTAGTAGACTCCTTTTACCTATACATAAGTTTCTTCAACACTGCATAATAAACAGATACAGTGACATTGATGGAAATTTGCTTTCACAGATCCATCTTGGCTTCATTCCATCATTGTATTATGATAAAGTTATGTTCATTATTTACTTTTTTTTGTCAGGAACAGAATGTAACTTTTAGTCATTTTGTACTTCTAATTATCTTTATTTACTAAACAAAGCAGTAAAAAGTAGGAACTGAAGTTTGAAGATAAATAAACATCACTCGTCAAAGTAAACTAGCTATTCATTATAAATACGTCAATACTGGTACTAATATTATAGTATTAATAATTTTGTGTCCTGTGTTTTCATGAAAATAGCTGTGTGTAAAGGTTAGGCGTATAAGAAAATCATCGTAAATAAAATGATCTCAATAAGATTTTTCATGGAACTGGCTGTACTCTTCGGGAAAAAAACGTAATTGATCAAGTTTTATGTCGGTTAAGCAGAAATAAAGAAAATCCTTTTCCACATTCCTTTTGTATTTTTCCTCTTATAATGTCAAAATACATAAAATCATTGTACTAATTATTTGTCATGTTGCTGTTTTTTCATTGAAGGTGTTGTTCATTTGTTTTCAAAGTAAAGCAGCAGGGACTGTGCTTTCCTAATGAAGGGAAAACGGAGGCTGGAGCAGGCTTGCCTTGAGGAACGCCTGCAGCAGGAAGTTTGACTCCAGCCTCCTCCTGGCATATGTTGACATGCGTCTGGGCAAGCCGCTAAATCACACGCTGAATACCAATTTGCATATTGGTTTATGAATGTGTGTCGATTTGTGTGTGTTTTCTTTTTATTGCAGCTCTAGTACAAAGTACTTTGAGTGATCAATTTGAGTAAAGGCATTATGTAAATTCAGCCCATTTACCATTATTCCTGCTTGTAAAAAGGTACCTCCTCTTTGAGAGATCGCCGATGCATATGAATCACACGCAGCAGGTCGTGGAGCGATGTATGGATCTTTATGCTCTTTGAAGTATTCTGCTGCTTGTAAAGCTCACAAAGCAGAACCAAGATTTTAAAGTGGACTCGGAGGTTAATTGGACGCCAGTTCAACTGAAAATAACAACGGTGTGACATGTGACTAATTAGAGGAGTTTGTCAGGAGCCTTGCAGGAATCCTCTGAACAATATGATGGGAATCCAAAGAGGTTTTGTTCACTGAACAATGAATTTGAATTTTTTTAAAGTCAAGGAATAAAAGCCTGAATAACATTTTTCAACTTAACACAATAGAACTTAACTCGGCCATATTTCATTGTGACAGGGAACAGTGGGGATCTACAATTTCGACATGAAACGACAGAGTGAAAGCTGAGTCGAAGGTTATACTGAGGTCCTTTCAGATGCAAGATCTCAGTTTTCCTGTTGTTTAATCGGTGAATGTTTTCAGCCATTCCAATCCTTAGTGAAATCTAAGCACCTGTGTAACATATTTAACTTTAAGCTTAGGGCTTAAAACTAATATGGGAGTGGATATCACCCAAGTAGACAGAAAATGTCACTCTGAAAATGTGTTCAAATGGAAGAACAATGACAACCCCTCAACATTGGGACCATTGCTTCTTTCCTCTTAGTGCTACACAAATCGTATATAATGACCATGTATGTTAATATACAGTAGAACTGAAAATAACTCTGGGTTACTGGGTTTCCAGTTACTGTCTCTTATTATAGCCTTTTCTCTGCTCCGGTGTTGGGGAATCGAGGAGACAGTGAACCTGTTGTCCGGCTAAATCAAGTTACTGAGACATGATGTGGAGCGACACGATTCACCGTAAAGAACCTGGTACCTCTGCCTGCAAAGCCAACTGGGAATCTGGATGAGAAAATGTTCTTTCTTTTAATTTCCAGTAGTGTTTAGATTAATAAGTATGACTGACAATACATGTGTGGGTAGGATTCCAAAGAAAGAGGGAGTCGTTGATTGCTT